GCCTTAGCCCAGAACAGCGCCAGCCTCGCCAGCACCCAGGACAAGAATCTGCAACTGCAGAAGACCCTGACTGCCTGTGAACATGACCGCCAAGTGCTCCAGGTATCGGGATCCCAGAGTCTGATCCCAGAGTCTGAGTGGGGTGGACCCAGAGAGAGAGTTAGTCAATAGGGCAGGCTTGGAGGGGCCTGGTAGAGAACCAGCCAATGGGAAAGTGTTAAAAACCCTAAAGAACCAATCAATGAGAGGGAGGGATGGGCCTAATGAGAAAATCATCCAATTAAAGGAGGTTCTGGGGAGTGAGTTAGAAAAGAACAGCCTACTAATACAGGCTTGAAGGATCCAGGTGTAAGGTTAATGGGGGAGAGTTGAGGTTTGAGGGGTCCCACCTTATGCAGTTAGTACGTAGGCTGTGGGCCAGGCCTGCTGTCTAGCTCACCCTCCAGGTGAGATGACTACCTGTTTTATGGGCTGAGAACCTGACCCAAGATACAGAGTAGGAGAGAACTCTTTGCCTCAGAGCTCCCAGGCCAGCCTGGCACCATCAGCCTCTGTCCCCCAGGAACGTCTGGAGGCTGCTCGGCAGGCGCTATCTGAGGCCCGGAAGCAGAGCAGCTCCCTGGGCGAGCAGGTGCAGACGATGCGGGGTGAGCTGGCGGACCTGGAGCTGCAGCGGGTGGAGGCGGAGGGCCAGCTGCAACAGCTGCAGGAGGTGAGGGATGGGGTGGGGACCTTCCCACCTATTTCAACTTCATCCCAAACCCAGGCTCAGCCTCCTGGGAGGAAGGACCCCCACAATCCACAAGCCCAGGAATGAAAAGAAACATGGTACTTCCATTATAGAGATGGAGAAACTGAGGCCCAGCGAGGAGAGCTGCCTGGCCTCAGGTGACAGTTCCCTAGTGCAGGCCTCACAGTTGCCCAGCTGAGTGAGTGGGCATGGTAGGCTGGTACTGTCCTCCCCAAGCTTCAGGTGCACACAGTGAGGCCCAGAGTGATTAGGGATTTGCCGCCTTCTGCTGCAGGTGCTGCGGCAGCGACAAGAAGCTGAGGCCACGGCCCTGCACATGGTCCAGAAGCTGCAGGACGAGCGGCAGCTGCTGCAGGAGCGTCTAGGCAGCCTGCAGCACGCGCTGGCTCAGCTGGAGGCTGAGAAGCGGGAGGTGGAGCGGTCAGCCCTACGGCTGGAGAAGGAACGGGTGGCCCTCAAGAAGACACTGGACAAGGTGGGCTGCTCCTCAAGGCCCTCCCTCACCTCCTCTGGGTCCTAGCCATTGCTGGTCCCAGCTGCATGTCCCTAGGGTCTGGGGGCTTCAGGTTCCCCCTGGCCCCTGGTCCTGCTGCCTCTAAGCAACACCCCACCCTGGGCCCCTTCCCCCCCCGGGACCTTCCTCCTTTCCGGGCACCCTGCTCCCCTCCTGCTCTCCCTGCCTAGGTGGAGCGGGAGAAGCTTCGCAGCCATGAAGATACAGTGCGGCTAAGTGCAGAGAAGGGCCGCCTGGACCGCACACTCTCGGGCGCGGAGCTGGAGCTGGCTGAGGCCCAGAGGCAGATCCAGCTGCTGGAGGTCCCACCCCTGCCCCCCCAACCCTGGACCCCCTCTCTCTTTAGCTCTGGGCCCCACTCCCAACCCCAGGCTGAGTGCCAGGTAGTCCCAAGAGTTACTGATAGTTCAGCCAGCCCAGTGTCCTCAACCTCACAGCCTACGAGCCAAGACTCTGGAGGAGTCAGCCCAAAGATCCCTGAGGGGGGTCCTCCCCAGAGTGGGGAGAAAAGAAATGCTAACAGCCAGTTAGCATGTGAACCTGTGCGTGCACATATGTTGTGGACATGGAGCGGTATGAGTACGTACAGATGTCTTTATGTGTGTAGGTGTGTGCAGGAGTTATTGGGCTTTTTGCATGAGTATTCATGTTTGCTTGTGTGCCTGTATGTATATGGGCCGGTTTTTGAATACGTCTGTGTGTGTGTGCGCGTGTGCGTGCACGTGCACATGCGTACATCTGTCTAGGTATCCTAATCTGCAGGCCAGGAGGGCAGGGGGTCAGGGACAAGCAAGGATCTCTCCTGAATTCACTGCCTACACTGGTTTTGCCCCAAGGAGCCTTTAGGTTCCTGCTCCGGGGAGGTACCTAACACCCCCTTGTGCGTATGCTCACATGCACACACACATGGGGCCAGACCCCTGACTAGTGGCTTCTCTGGCAGGCCCAGGTGGTGGTGTTAGAGCAGGACCAGAGCCCAGCCCGGCTGGAAGCAGAGGAGCAGCAACAGCTGGAGCTGCAGCAGGAGGTGGCGCGTCTGCGCAGTGCCCAGGTGCAGACAGAACGCACCCTGGAGGCTCGGGAGCGGGCCCACCGGCAGAGGGTGCGTGGGCTGGAGGAACAGGTACTCAGGCCTGGCTGGGCTCCAGCCCCTCCCCTGCTGGGAACCAGCAGGACTCCCACCTTGGGAAGCTGGGCCAGGATGGAAGTGTGAACCTAGAAGAGGGGGAAGGGGAGAGGAGAAGGGGGCGAGGGCTGAGTGCGACCTCTTGGGTATAAGCAGTCAATGGCACCCATGAAATGGTCCAGTGGATCCATGCCAGTGTCAACCATGGCTGGACATAGGCTCAAGTGATGTCATTGTAACAGTCCCTTTGCCATGGCTCTGCTGTCCTCTCTCCATGCCCAGGCAGGCCCTCTCCCTGGGCAGCACAGGTGGCCTCAGCAGCTCCAGCCTCAGGTTATCCCAACAGTCCTCAGTCCCCGGGGAGAGAGGGCGCCTTTTACTGAGAGCAACAGCAAAAGTCCCAGGCATCCTCCTCATTGGCCAGTGTTGATCCCAGGCCCCTCCCTGACCATCCTGACCCGATCGTGTCTGCATGGCAAGGCTGCTCTGATAGGACAGGCCTGGGTCACAGGTCCACCCCTGGAGTCAGGCCAGTGTCAGTCCTATCGGAGAGGTGAGAGTGGGGATAGGGTGGCTCCCAAATTGATGCTGAGCATTCAGAGGACACCTAACTGTACCATGGAACAGAAAGGAAGAAGATAGATACTCTGGTCCTCAGTAAGACCCGTTTTTCCTGCAACAGGCAGCACTGGGTCCCTTCTGGGGTCCCAGCTGCAGTTACCCGCCTTTCTGTGAAGTCAGGCTGAGGACCTGGGCTGGCCGGGCTGGCTCTACCTTCTCTTTCTTTTCCAGGTGTCTACTCTGAAGGGACAGTTGCAGCAGGAGCTTCGAAGGAGTTCGGCATCCTTCTCCCCTGCCTCCGACCCCACAGAGAAGTGAGCCCCTTCCTGGCTGGTACCCTAAAGAACAGGCAGCCCCGTGGTCAGGGAGGAGAGAGGCCTCCTCTCCAGCATGATCCACGCAGAGCCTGGGCCAGCCGGGGCCACCAGAGCTCGGCTTGGGGTGAGGAGGGCCTGGGTTGGCAGTTCTGAGAGGTGGGACTCCAGTGCCAGGCCAGACCCACAGGGGCTCCCCGGTATCATCAGAGCCACCTGCTGTCTGTGGGCCCCACCTCAGTCCAGCCACCCTTCCCCGGATGAGCCGCTCCAGATCGTACGAGATCCTTCCTGAGAGTGACTGAGCCAGAGCCAAGAGCCAAAGCCCTTTGTTTCTGCCTCATGGGAAAGATGAAGGGGTGCCCAAGCCTAGGACAAGGGTCAGAGGCTCAGGCGTTGCCCTGGCTTCCCGGAGATCTCGCCGCCTTAGTTCAGAGTGTTTGTCAGGAGCTCTTTGGAGTTCAGAGTCCCTGTATTTTTATACCTTTTTACCATGCTAACTGTTCAGAACTGTTGTGTTTTTGTAATAAGAAGTCACCGTTTTCTAAAAATGATTTTGTACAGACCTATCCCTTTAACTCTCAGTGTGCCGCCTCCACCTGGGAGACAGGTGGGGTCCCCCAGTGAGGGGCTCAGGGAGTGGGGAGGTGTTAGAAAGGCCTGTGGAACTTACCAGCCTCAAGATGTCAGGGTGGGGAGGCCTCCAAGGTCCATTTAACAGAAGGAGCTGTGGAAGCTTGGAGCTGTGACTCAACCCGCACAGCTTGACTCTCCAGCTGGAGCTTTCTCACCCCGTCCCCTGGCCCCTCAGAACAGAGCCCGCCCTCTGGATAGTGACAGGCAGCGCAGTGAACAAATGCAGGCCTGGGAGTGAACGTGGGGTCTTGCCCTGGCTCTGCTGAGTGAGCTTGGGCAAAGCTGCGTAGTCTGTCAGGGCCTCATTTTGCTCATCTGTAAAATGGGAACCTGCCCCGCCACCCCAGGGTGGTTATGAGGGAGTACACATGGAAGGTGTTCAATCAGTGTGTTTGCAAGGAGAAATTACTGGAATTCGTGGAGTCCAGTGGAGTCTGGTTCTGCTCCAGCTCTGCCAATTCTAGCCGTGGCCCCCTGAGTGGGTTACTTAATGCCTCTAGACTTAGTTTCCCTGTCTGCGAGATGGGGATATTTATTATGCCCACCACATAGGCCTTTTCAGAAGGTTAAACAGGACTGCGTGCTGAGCACTCATGCAGAGCCCGGTCCCCACATGCCAGTCACGGGGAGGTATTATATCGGCTGGCCTGCTTTCTGTCCTCTGACCCACACCAGACCTCCCCTCCCCGCATAAAGCCCTGATCTCAGAGTCCACCTACCTTGACCTCCTGCCTGACACCCTATACACACCCTCATGCTTCCACACAGGTGGTCTTCCGTCTTGGCTTGCACCCCTCTGATGACGGGGTCTCATGCCCTGACAGTGAGAAAGCTGTGTCCCTGAAATTTCTATTTATAAGGTAACTCCCTGCAACCCAGACACACAGTGGGTATGCACGCGCACATGTGTGCGCGCACACACACCCCCGGGGGCAGGTGTCATGGCCTATCTTTCTGGTAGCTCAGAGCTGATGCTGGTGGGTGGAGAGGCAGGGCTGGGTCTGCAGAGGCAAGGCCACAGGTCATCTCAACAGGCAGTACTGGAGGCACCTCGCCCCCCCCTCTGTGTTCTGCTCTGGAAAAGTGACTGACTCTGAATCTTTTGTAAAAACTTATTTTTAATTTTGTATAAAATAGAGGTGTTCTATGCCCGGGGGCTGTAGGAAATCCAAGCAGACCAGCTGGGGTGAGGGGCATAGCCTACCTCGGGGGATTGGGGGAGACTGTCCTCAGAGGGGCTGAGAAGGCACATCGGAGGCCCTGGTCCCACAGAAAGGCCTGGGATGCCCCCCACCTGGGGGCGAAGACCTGGCAGTGGGGGGCCCCCATTGCACCCCAGGGGTGGCCACATGTTGGGGGAGGGGCCTGAGACAACCCCCAGAGCCATAGTCCACTAACTTTTTACAGAATAAAAGAAATGTCAGGCAGGGGAGAAAAGCACCAGGTCAGGCAGGGCCTGAGGGCCCCGGATCCGAGGAGGGGCCAAGTTTTGGGTGCCAGCTCCACCCTAGCAGCCCCCGCAGCTCCTAGCACAGGAGGCCGCCACCGATTGGCACAGGCCGCTGCTGGCCATCACACCACATTTGGAGAACTTATCCCGACAAAGGTCAGCTGTTGGGAGAAGGGCAGGAAGGAGTTGGGGTCAGGGTTGGGGATGGGTGATAGGAACTGCTCCCCTATCCTCAACCCTGGTGATCCTGATCTCGGGATCCCCTGGAAGTGGCCCCAGGCACGTTACACATAAATAAACATCAGGTGGGTAGATAATGAGTGAAAAGAGGCAGGGAGAAGGCTGAGGGTTGGAGGCTTCCTACCTCGGAGAAGCTCCTCGTGGGCACAAACTGTGCGGACGCAGATCTCCTTGTTGATGATGTACATTCGGCGCAGGCTGGGGGGATGGGGTCAGGGGAGGTGTCAGTCTCACCCTTAGCCAGCTCCACTGGGAGAGCCTGGGGTAGGACTTGGCATTGCAGCCTGGGAGTCCCAGCCTCCAAGCCAGGGCTAAACCAGAGTTGAGCTCAACTTCAGGATTCATGATCTTCCTCCAAACCCTACCTGGGCTGGCTGGAGCTGTCCCCCCTCCCCCGACTCAGCCCCTGCCCCCCCAACCCTCACCCCACAGGCCCTGCCTGTGCTCACCTGTAGAAGCAGACCTCGTTGAGACACTGTTTGCAGGGCTTGTGTATGGAATAGAGGCGGGTGCATGGGTACTGCTCCTCACGGCAGTCTGGATGACAGGCGGAATCAGACTGGGGGTGCAGCTTGGGGCCCAGGGTTGGGGGGGCGGCCCCCAACCTTGCCCACTGGAGACTGGATCTCATTTTGGGATCTAGGTACACCCCGCACCCCCTGATCTAGCCCAGACACACACATACACACATATGCCCAACATATGCACACAGCAACATTCTGGGGCTGCCCAATTTTATACAGTGTATTTACAGATAAACAAAATCACAACCATACTTCTGAGCATATATTGAAACACATAAATTCAGACACAAATCCACATACATACAGTCACAGAAGCCCACACCGACCTTACAGGGGAGCACACCCTACCTCACAGTCTCTCTCAGGCTCTGGGCTGAAGCAGCATGGGGCTGGCTGAGCCAGCCTGGGCTTCCTGCCGCATCCAGCCTGGCCTGCCATAGCACCACCGCTGGCAGGAAGCCCCCAGCATGCTCCCTGCCCCTCCCCAGCGTCTGGGAGTAGAGGGCCCCTCCCAAGGCTGCAGCCAACTCAGCCTCCTGCCAGGCCCAAGGGGCAGAGGGATCTCCTGGAGCTGCCTATGCGGCCCTGAAGTTGCCGGCCTAAATGGGCACATCTGCAAGCCCCCCACCCCACCACCTACCCCAGCAAGAGCGAAAGGCCTGGCTGTCTCTGTTCTACCAGGGCTGCACCCCACTCTGCCCCAACTTTCGGGGCCATGCTTGTTTCTCCAGCTGTGAGGGAAGCTCTTACCCAGAGGCCCGGGCTCCGTGGGCTCCGTCTCTGCATTTCCTGGCTCTGGCGTTGGGAGAGGGGGAGGTAGAGAGCTTAGAGAGGGGTCAATTCAGGGCAGAATAGGGTCACCTCTCTCAGCCCTGGCACAAAAACCCCACTCCCAGGGTTGACAGGAGCTTGTAGCTTACCAAAGGTGGGGGCCGGGATGACTTCCTGTTGAACTTGCTGTTGGGACTGGAACTGGAACTGCTCCTCGGAGGGCCGAGATGTCGCCTCTGGAACAGGACATGTTAAGGGGGTCTACTCATTTCCTCCCGACCCCCCAGGTCTCCATGGGCACCCCCACTCAGATGCCCACCCAGCCTATCTGCACCCCACTCTCCCCCCACCGCCCTTTACCTTGATAATCATAGTAGTCCGGGTTGTCTGAAAACAAAGATGAACATCGAATTGCTGGGAGTCAGGCTAGCTTTCAGCCCCAGGGGCAAAGGAGGTTATAACCGAGCCAGGGACCATCCCGTCTGCAAATCCCATCACTCTACCCGACCCGGTCCCCACCCAGCTGAGCTGTGCACCTCTGAGGAGCCAGGCCTTGATGACATGGCAGGGCTGGGGAGGCCCGAGGGGGCCGGGGGTGGTGAACAAGGCCTTACCGATCTGGTCACTATAGTGGGTGTACTGGATATGGTCTGGGAATGGCGGCAAAGGGTCCAGGTCATATTGCCCCTGAGCCAGAAGGCCTGCTGAGGGAAGGCAAAGCATGAGAAGGTGCTCTAAAATGCCCGAGGCATTTCTGGGGAAGGTAGGTGGAGGTCCAGCAGGCCTGCAAATCCCTAAGACGCTTAGACCCACAGGATCCAAACTCCTTCCTCGAGCATAAAGGCCCTTACACTTCCTGGTCCTCTGTCGCTTCACTGACATCATCCTGCCCATCTCCTCCACGTTGGTCTCCTGGCTGTTCCTGGAACTTGGCGTGCTCCTGCCTGCCCCAGGGCCTTTGCACTTGATCTCCCTGGGCCTATAATCCCCGTCACCTTCTCCTCCCTTCAGGTTGCAACTGAAATTTCAGCTCTAACAGGCTCTTGCTGGCCCACCCACCCTCTCCATCTCATCCTCCCGTTTATTTCCACCATAGCACTGGATACAATCAGACATTTATCATGTCTACTTGATAACATAGGCCTCCCTTCCCTAGACTGGCAGCACCAGGAGGGCAGAGATTTGTCTGCCTGGTTTTTTGCTGTAGCCAGGGCCTAGCCCAGTACCTGGCACATAGTAGGAGCTCAACAAATATCTGCTAAACAAATGCATGTTAGACCAGGCAGGGTCTTTTGATCCCCACTGATAACTCCTCTCTTAACCAAAAGGGACCCCTCTAAGATCAAGATGGTATAGGGTGGTCAGGCCTCAAATAGGTCTAAAACCCAAGCCTCCAGATTCCCTGCCTTGGGTGCCCCCCTATTCCTGCACATCAGCTCCCAGAGAGTCAGTAAGTAAGAAGAAAAGCATAGACTCCTGGTGCCTGGTTGTGGGCCCCCTCTCCAGAATCCTGCCTACCTGCTGCTGTGGATGGTTGGGGTAAGGGTCCAGGAAATGCCTCTGGCTTTCGGAGTGGTTGGCCAGTCAAGTGTGTGGTCCAGGAGGCAGGAGGCCCTGGGACCCAGGGAGCTCACTGCCAGCTTCCTCCCCAAAAAACCTCACTCTCACCTACATAAGGGGAGCTCCCCGCATCCCCAGGCGCCACTCACCAGGCAGGAATAGCAGGAAGAGGTAGGCAGCTCTCATCGCTACACAGTGAGGCGGGCTGGGCTGGTGTCAGAGGACAGCTGGAGGAAGAGGAGAGGGCAACCTGCATCCCAGGCCCACTTTTTTTTACCCACCTCCGCTCCCCTGAAGTCAGCCTGGAGGAAGAGGCATTCGGAATAGACGCTAGGCATATGGAGGGCCTGGAATTCTGGAGGGGGAACCACTTTGGAGGGACACAGGCTGTCCTTGATGGCCCCCTGAGTGTTCAGGTCCCAAGGGACAAGGCCTCCAACTTGGCTCCAGGGCTGATCTTGAAAAATGGACAGACTACCATGCCCCGCTCAGTAAGAGAACATGTGTAATCCCCCACCATTTCTAATCCCCCGACCCTACTCTTTGCCCACTACCATGCCCACCCTTTGGTTTAGCACCTCCCCAGGTGTCTAATGCATTGATCATGCAAATGCCTGACCCTAGGCCCATCCTTGGGACCCCAGCCCTGTCCAGCCAACATCACAGCCTAGACTCAGCACTGTCTGCCAAACCCACCACCTGCTCCTGATTAGCCCCTGGGCCCTGAGCATCTTGCTTAGCAGGAAACTGCATCCTTAATCAGACCCCAGGCGCCCCTGAGGAAACCAGGGCTGGGCAGGGCTCCCACCCCCAGAAGATTCCTCTACTGCCAGGCCTCCCAAGACCTGGCTGTCCATCAGACTCACGAGACTGTGGTCTATTTGTCTGCAGCAGCAGGAAGCACTTAGGGTGGAGTCTAATGAGGGCTTCTCTGGCTCCTAGAAGGGCAGTGCTGGAGGGGACCATATGTCACCAGCCCAGGAGTGCTGAAACCACTAACGTTGTACGACAAGTGTTGTATAATTTGCGGGGGACAGGGCAGTGGTCCATAACTTTCACCAGGCTCTTGAAGTTCAAGAACTCCGGTTGCGTCCAGCCTCCAGTCTTTGGCCCCACGGTGGACTTGGCAGAGTCTACAGGACCCCACGTCCAGTCCCAGCTCAGTGGAAGGCAGCCTCAGACTGTCAGCCTTCTGCTGGGAGGGCTGGGAGAGAGCCCACGGGCTCATTTATCCAGGAGGACCCCTCTCTGCCACAACAAAGAGAGTTCTTCCAGACAGCTAACTGAAAACCTTGGCCATATTTCCCCCTGGGAGTCTAGGGAGGGGGAGGAAAGCGGCAGAAACATGGGCTTCTTTCTCTCCTTCCTCCCAATCTTGAGACTTCTGTGAACCCCCTGCCCATCTCATGCATTCAACCCGCACTGCAGTCTGATGAGGTGGGTGAGGAAACTGAGGTGCAGTGGAGTGGGTGAGGGAGATGAGACTCATGACTCAAGCTGCCCCAGAGGCGGGGGACATTGGGCTCCCCACATCCCCATTCTGAAAGCCCTCGGCCCCCTCCTGGCTAGCGCAACTCCCCACAGAGTCTCACTCTCCCATTCTCGTCCCCTAGGCTGGTGGCAGCCAGGCTTCTTGGAACTGTCACCACTCTGGAGGAGGCCCTGAGTTGGGGCCTAAGGGGCTTTACAGACAGTCTGTGGGGAGTGGCCTCTGTCTGTCCTCAAAGCCCCTTCCTTGGCCTCTCAGCCTCCTCCGTGGAGTCTTTTCCTCCCCAGGTCTGGCACCCAAGCCCAGGCTCACTGGCCGGAAGGGACCCAGGGCAAGGGGTGTGGCCGTAAAGATGAGAGTCCGGTGAGAGTCATGAACAGTACCAGGGGCCGGACATCTCCAAGCACTTCTAGAGTTCGGATTTTGGGGAGTGTGGGGGAGGCCAGGACCAGCCCAGGAGGCTGCCCACCCCCTCCACAGCAGAGGACCCTCTCCCCTCTGCGGTCCTGGGGAGGGGTCAAGCGAGGCCTGCTCGGAGCCCCCTGCCCCCACGCTCACTCAGACGGAGGCTCTGCCTGCTCAGGAGGCCGGGCCGGGGTCGGGCTGGAGGAAACCAGATGTTGCAGCCTGCACAGCTGGGAACAATCAGCCACGGAAGCGCCCGGCGCGCTCTCCCAGTGTCTGATCTGTCTTTGTCTCTCCGCGTCTCTGTCCCGGCGTCCCGCCGCACACCCCGACCCCACCCC